GCGGGGGTTGTCACTGGTGGGGGAAGGGTGATGGACGCCGACCACCTAGGCGCCGGCCAGGGCTGGGCTGGGGGGCAGCGGTTACTAGGTTGGTGGTGGATTATTTATTGGTTTATTTAATTTTCTTAAAGTTTCTTAATTCTTTATTTAAGTAATTAATTAAATAATATGAATAAGAGCCAATAAGTGACAGCCAGGTGGCACAATTAACCTTAATTACTAACGGAGTTTACGGCATTAGTCATTAAGGGCATGTTGTGACATTTATGTTAAACTCAATGGTACATGGTGTATTAGAAAGTTTTTAGTGGTATATGGTGAATTAAGTTAAAACTCAGTGGTGTATGGTGAAAAATCCGATCCGTTTATTTTATTATTTGGAAACTTTGGGGCATATTTGATTCATAAAAGAATTTTAAAGTCATAAAATAAAGTCAAATGACTATTTTGAATAGAAGTGGGAATTATTAAGGGCAAAAAGGTAAAGTTAAGTTAGGAGGATTTTGAGAGGGAGTATAAATAGCCATCTATGAGCAAATTTAGACTTTGCCCAAGGTGGAGAATATCCAAATGTAAACTTTCTCTCTCTCCTCTTATTTTTCTTTTTCCTTAATTTTTCCCCTCTCCCCTTTGCTCACAATTCACGACACACTCACACACACACACACACACAACCACCACAAAGTGGCCGGCTGCCGCCACCACCAACACTCGCCGACAACAGCAGTCGTGGGGAGGCGGCGACAGCCGTCCTCCCTTCCCCTTCCTTGTGCGTGTGGTTCGAACAAAAAATAAAAATAAAATCTTGTTTCAAAATTTAATTAGCTTTGATTAATTATTGTTTTGGGTGTGTGTGATGATTTTATGATGTTTCAATAATGATTAATATACGTAGTACATATAATTTTCAGATTTGGTTTTGTATCAAAAAGCCCTAAATCGATTACATTCTAAGTTTCTAAATTGATGTTTATTGGAGGAATTTAATTGTGGTTGATTAAAACTATTGAAGTTAATGTTTTAAAACTAAATTACAGCAAGTTTAAGAGTTTTTATATTGCTGGAATTTTTATGTAGAGGCTAGAATAAAGTGTTCTTGAAAGGATTTTTAATTACCCATTAATTGGGCATAAAAGTAAGTGGTTCTAATTAATTTTCAGCATGTTTTAGAAGGTTTAAAAGTGTTTTAAAGAGTCTATATATTACTGAAAATTTAATATGAATAGGTATTAATGTCTCTTGGTATTTGTGGGTTGTAGGAGACTTCCAAATGACTGATTTTGTGTAGTCGTAGCGATCTTGAGATTATATTCAAGATATGTTCGTGTACCCGGTTATTATTTAAATGTGTAGAAGCATGCTAGGACTTGTTTAATTAATTCCAAGTTAGGATCATGATAGGTATTGATTGTAATTGTTGGTTGGATTGATTTTGATGATGGATTTGTGAAGCATGAATTATTTAAGGTGAATTATTGATGGAAAATTATGATGTTGGATTATGGTTATGGACTACACTTTTATTATTGGTTTGATTGAAAGCATGTTTAATTAAACTAAATGTTTAATTTGGTTTGGAATATAAAAAGGGAATTTTATTATGGTTCATATAATTTTTATTGATTCTTAAAGCATGGGATTGGAGCTTTTAAGTGTCTTACTACACAGGAATAAAATGAAATGTGGTGCCTATGTGCACTTAAGGTGTTTTAAACACCGAGGGATAGGATTTGCGGTGCATTATCCCCTTAAGATGTTAATTTAACGCCGAGGTAGTTTTAAAAAGGATTCAACATTTAGTTATTGTTATCACTAACTATTCAAGAATTAAATTAGAATGTTTGATTACTTGAATAGATTGTATGGATTGATTGTGTTGTGGATTGAGAGTCATCACCAAGTCTAAAATGTAAACAACGTAAAGTGAAAGAGATTGCGCATCAAAACTCTTGGAACGTATATACCTCGAGTATGAACATATGGGGGGAGTTATGTAATTTTATATTTGATCATGACTTCTACTGGAAGTACAGGACGCTGTATTTTCCTTTTTATTTTATGCGCAGGACGTCAAAAGTAATCAAAAATAAATAAGCAATTTATTTGGGGCTACCCAGTTAGCTCCTGGAATAATTTACCTTAATTTATTTGGGGCGGGGATTTGGTGGGAAACTCGTTCGATGCGTAATAAAAAATAAATAAGCAATTTAATTATCTATTATTGTTGAGTTGTATGCTGTATGCTTGAAAAACAGGTGCAACAAGGTAAGTTGTGTGATGCTAGGATGAATGCATGTTAGTGTGATTCGTTTACGCTTATGTACTCAGCATTGCTGAAAGTGTGTTTTTATGTTTGTTTGGCCTTGTCTTTATCTTGACCCTACGACGACCCATTTCTAATGGCGAGTAGTGAGGACAAAGTAAAGAGAAACTTTTCAGGTGATGAAGCATATTCATGATGGGCATGAGTGAAGAGCGAATCTTGTTTAGTTTCTATAAGAACATGATATGTTTTATTTGCTTTAATTATTATATATTTGCTTGTATGACTAATGCAATGATTTTTACATATTTGGTTTTGGGTTTGAAAAGGGCCTACAATAGTTCCAAGTTGTAAGTTGACTTCGTTTGACTTTGTTTGAATTTACTTTCGTTTGGTTTGACTTTTAAAGTTGGTTTGTTTTGAATGTTTTTGAGATAAGTCTTCTGCTGTGTGTCTTTGATATTTGCCTTATTAGCCATTATCACGGTGGCGGTAATGTCTTAGTATTTCCTATTTCGTATTTTAAAAAGGACAAAACATGTATTTTAAAAGGAAGGAATTTTTAGGGTGTTACAATTCTAAACTTTACCTCCATTCGTTCCTAAATACTTGCAACATTTGTTTTTTTTTTTTTCGTTTTTTTTCCTAATTAATTATTGCGAGTTACAAAAGTTACAACACATATTTTAGCACAGAACTATTATTACTCCCTCCATATTTTTTAAATGCATCACTTTCTATTTAGGGATGTTTTCTTTAAATGCATCACTTTAATAGTTGGTAACTTTATCTTATATTTTATTATTTCTCTCTTTTTTAATACCCCACCCAAAATATTTTATCATTTATCTCTCTTTCTTGGTCCCACTTACATAATTAAATAAATCACTCTCTCACATAGTAGTATCTATTTTATGACCCACATTGTACTTTTACCAAAATAAATTAATTATCTATTTGCCCCACTTGCACAATATACTCTCTTCGTATTTAAATAAATGAAACGTTTTAACTTTCACGGAGTTTAGGAAGATTAATTGAATTTATTAACATAATAGGTAGTGGGGTGTAAGTTGAGGAGAGAGCAGAGAGTAAGGAGTTTTGTAGGAACCGTTAGTTAGTAGAATGTTATTAAAAGATATAGAGAATATTATTAAAAAAAATAGAAAGAAGTTACTAAAAAAGAAAACGTTTTATATATTTAAATGCGGCCGGAAAAGGAAAATGTTTCATTTATTGAATCACGGAGGGAGTAATATTAAAGCAAATAGCTATCCTAAAACTCCGTGTAAATGTAAGTGATGCATTTAAAAAAAGGAAGGGAGTATTATATGTATTTCTATATACCACTAACCACATTTGCAATTTCAAAATATTTTAAAAAGAGGGTGTGTTAAACACCGCCATAAAAAATGATCAAAACTACTAACATTTCAATGAATGGACCATCATGCCCTTAGTAATTCACCACTATCTTCCCTCTTGCCACCAATCACAAACACCTTGACACCACCACCCTGACCGGCGACGACCACCACCACCCTGGTCGCCGACCCACCACGTCCCCTTCAATGACGACCCATCACCTTCCCTCACCGGCAAAGGTGGTGTTTTTTAATTTCCGGCAACCACCCAACCGGCGGCCAAAACCGGTCAATCGGTGGCACAACCAGTAGCCAAAATCGATTGACCGGTTTTGGCCGCCGGTTGCCAGGTGTTTTTTTTTAAAATTATTATTATTATTATTGTAATTATTATTGTTATTGTTGTTGTTGTTATTATTATTATTATTATTATTATTATTGGTTGCTGGTCGGAAGGGGTGGTGGGTCGTCGAGGAGGATAGGGGGTGGTGGGGTAGTAAGGGCATGGTTATCCATTCACACCAAATGTTGGCGATGGTGATCATTTTTTTATGGTGGTGTTTAGCAATCCAACTTCAAAAAAATATTTAAATTAGTAAGTGTGAACATTAATCAGGATTGAAGGAACAAAAAGAAGACAAGGTCAGTATTGTATTTTGTGTTCTTCTATTACAATTATAAAAGATTATTTATATCTTCTAATTTCCAAAATAAGTTTTCAAAATAAGATTAGGACAAAAAGAATTCAAAATTTGAAATATATTTCCATAAATTTGTAACCACAAAGGAGGGAAAAATGAAGAAAATATCTGAAATGTAACATCCTAAATGGGCCAATGAAGATGAATGAAATTGACCCCATAAACAGCTTGTACTTAACTCATTAAAAATACTTAAAAATTAAGAAGTCTACTTATGATGACAGCATTGCCTAACTCATTCAAACACCTGGATTATCTAAAGTGCATGCTTCACCTGCTCCTTTTTAGTCTTTCGTATGATTACTTAGCTCATTCCTCAAACCTGTCAATTGCAAAATCCTTCATTATGAATTTTTGGTTTAATTTTGCTTATCTTTTCATAATCTGTATTTATTGATGTAATTAATGATGTCTTTGACTATCTGGTAGTACATAATAGTGACGGACAGACGAAGTACATAGAACAATAATTTGTAACACGTTAATTTTTGTGGTGAATTTGGTTTGGTCGGGTCAATTTCGAATGTAATCTCTTATTTTTCACTTCGTATATAAAGTGTACTATTGAGTTTTCACCTGATGGCGTAAGAGTAATCCAGAAAACTCAAATAAGGAAACTTATAAGACTAAACACTCCCCCTATTTTAAGCTCGTAAGAGTTGGAATCTAATACAGTAAGTAGTCGAAACGTCAAAATCAAATAAGCAGTAAACAAAAACTCCAAACGACCAACAAAAAAGACCCCGCCTCGAAAATAACGGGTTTTGAAATTTGCACCGTAACATTAACACAACATTACATTCACACCCCCAAACATTTCCCCTTCCCTCCTTCCTTCATCTTCCTCTGTCTCTTCCTTCTTCAGATACCACCTGCTTTTCTTCCAAACACGCCACGTCACCAATACTTTCATACTTTCTCTCTCCTCTTCTCAACTTAACATAACTACAAAGCAACGAATTCTCTTTCTCGCCGTTTTTTTTTTTTTTTTTAAATTTTAATTTAATAAGATTCTTTTTCTGTTAGCTGATCTTTTTATTGCAATAAAAGCATCATCAGCTGCATTTGCGAAAGAGAAATAAAAAAAATAAATAAAAAGAGAGAGAGAAAATAAAAATGGGTTCAAGTTCGAATAATAGTGGAAGTAGTAATTATGATTTATCATTCAAAGTGTTGTTAATTGGTGATTCTGGAGTTGGCAAAAGTAGTCTGCTTGTTTCTTTCATTTCTAATTCCACTCATGATCAATCTCCTACTATTGGTAATTTTCTTCTTTTTGGAATTGGAATTTTGTTTAGGTTCAAACTCACCGACAATTGGAGTTTCTGAGATTATTTTTTATTTATTTTTATTTCTTTTTGTGGATCTGGATTTTGTGTTCGAAGGTTTGAATTATTGAAATGATTGCTTGTTTGTTGGTATAATATTTCCAGATAATTTAGTCAATAAAATAGTACAATTTTCATTAATTGTTCGTTTTCATCACAATTTGTTTATATGTATAAATTAATTAATTTTAATTTGAGTAGATAGTTTTACCAACTTAGGCAAATCGAAATAGAAAGCGTAACCAACTTAAAGAGGGTGGAAGTAGTTTATTAAATATTGTTTGATTGATGAGCAGATAGTATCATTTTCTTAATAAGACCGAATTTCATGATTTTATGGAAATTAATTCAAGACCAATAATCCAATAATTTACGACTACTTCAAATTTTTGTGTAATCAACTACAGTTGTAAGCTTGCTTTCTTGGTGTAAACCGTTGCTAATTCGTAGGTGTAAGGTGCAACCGCGTAGACATCTATCTACACGAGTATCTTTTAAGTTCATTCTTTTGAACTCAAATTAAGCTCTCTATATGAGAAAAGTTAACTTTGGATACACTCGTGATTTGTAACAATGATAATGGTTATGGAAATATAGGTATATTGTAATTAGTCAATTGAACTGCAACCGCGTCCGATATCATAATTTTGGTAGAGGGAAAACCAGGTGGGATGGAACTTATTGAGCAATGTGCCTTTCTTTTTATTGACAATCTGACATTGCCAAGATGATATGCTCGCTAAGCTTAGTTTTTTATTCATTTTTTGTAGGGGTTGATTTTAAGATCAAGACGCTCACTGTTGGTGGGAAGAAGTTGAAACTTACAATATGGGATACTGGTAAGTGGTAACTAGTTGCACAATGCACTTCTTTGTTACTCCATATCTTAAGGTTCATCTGTTTTTTATATATCGATTATGTGGACATAAGAATGTAGTAACTAGAGAGAGATCACTTAATTTAGACTTTAAAGCTGCATGAATGGGTGGTGACTGGTTGTTGAAGCTTTGTATAACTAATCCCCAAACAACACATGTAATTGTCTTACATTGATACAATAAGAGAGAGTTTATTACTTTATAAGGCTAATGGACTACTCCGATTATAGCCCTATAATTTTAAGGTGGAACCTGTTTGGACTTGTTTAGTGGTCTGTTATGATGATGGGTGCAGTCCAGGCCCATGGAGTCAATTCTAGGCCATCTCACATCGTGAAAAGCTGTTGATCGTAAAATGAGATGAGTTTTAGTTTATTGTGAGTTTTATTCTTTATCTGCCTATAGTCTCTAGCCACCCCTATCTTATGTACATGCATCTTAGCGTTTGCTCCGTGATTACTCTATGTTGAATTTTTTTTGCAAACTCTGACGTTGAACTAATCTTCAATTTGGAAGAGCAGTACTAATATATGTATTATCTCCTTTGCAGCTGGTCAGGAGAGGTTCAGAACACTAACAAGTTCCTATTATAGAGGTGCCCAAGGGATTATTCTTGGTATGCTTTATTTGTGATTGTATCATATTTTAATTTTTAAAGATCATTTGAGCAACTATTTTTGAGATTATATTCATTGTTATAAGTAGTTACAATAACCCAATAGGTCATGAACTCAAGATTCTATTTCCCATTAGATGAGGTTTTTTTTTTTTTTTTTTTTTTTTTTTTTTTTTTTTTTTTTTTGTGCGTGTGTTTGTGTGGGGTGGGGGGGGGGGGGGAGGGGGGATGTTAGAATAATCCACTTCGGATTGTTGTTAGGCATAACTCTCTTTCAAGAGTCATTTAGCTTTTCTAAAAGTATATTCGTTTTGCCAAATATTCCATGTTATTATTAGTTGTCTTGTTGTTCATCTTTTATTTTTTTTAATGTATATTGCTCGTTAGCTGGTGTTTTATTGTATTAGATTTAGGGAATCGATTATAGGAATTCTACTTTCTTCTCTCTTCTCATCACTTACATCTGAGCATTCCATGAATCAAAATTTATGCTAGTGTTAACACTGTATTCAGAACATGCAATTGGGTTTATATCTGTTCTTATGTCTACTTATTCATATGTTGCTATAGCGAGCATGGAATAGGTACATAGTTGAATAGTATATATCAGCAGAATATTTGCACTCTGTAGTCAGTGCAAAGAATTAGCTAACCATTAATTCTAGCATCATCCATTTCATGAACATTGCTTGACATAACCATTTCTAACCACTGCTGGCTGATTTTTGTGTAGAACAGTTTCATATCATCCTTTTGACTTTTTCCCCCTTTTAATGTCTTTACCTTTTTGTCATTTTAGTGTATGATGTCACAAGAAGAGAAACTTTTACCAACTTGTCTGATGTTTGGGCTAAAGAAGTTGAGCTTTACTCAACCAATCAAGATTGTGTCAAGATGCTCGTGGGAAATAAAGTTGATAAGGTATATCCTGTTTATCCATACTTCTATGCAATCTTGAAAATTATTTCTTCATTATTGTAATATTAGGGCTTGTACTTCAACATTTACATACAGTACATTAGATTTTACTAACCAAGTTATCAGGTAACTAGATTGATCTCTCCTAGCCAAGACTCTGGTTTCCGATGAATCTTATTTGAGTTACGTAGAAGCTTAGTCTTTTTATGCTAACATAGCTGTCTCCTTTTCTGCATTGGAGGCTGGTGCAGTAGTTGATATCATTGTTGATTTGGTTTTTCATTAGCATCATAAGTTGTGTAGCATTGAGGGTGATCTTTAGGACTTTTTTGAATTAACAGTTCAAAGGAAGACTTCTGAATTTGATATTATCAGTCCTTTTTGAAAAGCGGACAAAATGGTTTTATAAATTAAATCCATTCATTTACTAGAAGTAGAGTTTTTCCTGCCCCAAAATGGTTAATTTTCTGAAAAATTACATTTCCTTTGAAAGATTGATGCTTATTAGATATTAGGAACTCACTGTTCTTGCTGATTTTTATATCAGGATTCGGAAAGAGCTGTGACTAGGGAAGAAGGCATTGCTCTTGCACAACAGTTAGGTAGTCTGTTTCTTGAATGCAGCGCCAAAACTCGAGAAAATGTGGAACAGTGCTTTGAAGAGCTTGCTTTGAAGGTAATATATTTTCTAACCTTAAGAGTGTTTCAGTTTTTAAGTGCCGTAGTGTAGGTCTTTTGGACTTGAATGTGTGTCTCAAAACATTGAAATTGATAGTTTGTGCTTAAAATTTATATATATCATGAATATAAGATGGCCTACTGTCTTTCTCTTAGTAATTGTAAAATTGCTGGTGGTTCCACTTAGTTGATATTCCATGATACAGATCAAGCTTGGAAATTTTTAGTGCTCTAAAGTCAGGAATTGATCATGTTTCGTGTTTGTTTGGTTTTTTTTTGGGGGGGATGTGGGGGGTGGGACTTGCAAAGCAACTTCGCACATTTTCAGAGTGACTTTTTGAGGAGTTCGAATCCCTGCATTCCAGCTTAGCTAATTTCTCTGTTATTTAGTTAACAAGTCTCATATAGAAAGGTATGTAGAGGAATTAAATTTTGTTGACTGGATAGAGACTTGTAAAAAAAGAAACTAGTTCAAGATCTAGCTTGTATAAACTATTTTACCTTTCCCACTTACTCTTCTAGCATAAATCAACCCTGAGCCTTGCCCATAATGGCACAGGACTTGAAACAATTGTGCATCCACATACTTTTCTTTTTGGGGCTAGTTGATCTTTAATCCAACTCTGATCAATTTGATTTCAATGTTGGTTTTCTTGTCAAATAATTTTTGAGTGGTAATTTAAATAAAATCCCTTTCATTATCAATTAACTAAGGGCCGTGAATAGTGAGTGAAAAAGGATATGGAGAGAAAACAACAAATCTAAGGATTATTGTAAGGAAACTCTGTATGTATTCAACTATGCTTAATTTAACCTTTAATTTGTTTCTAATCCTCTGCATAAAACTGCCGTTTAACTGCATTGTGAATGCACCTTGACTTTAACTTTCTCGTCAATAGTTTATCACTTCAAAATGCCCCAAATAACGTCATGTGGCTGTGTAAGTGTGTAACCATGTAATTATTCAAGTCACAACACTTGAAATCTCTATGTCAATTGTAGGTTTAGAGAAATTAGCTTTGTGTTATAATTATGATGTACAAGAAACTGAATGAGGGTCGGCATTTGAAGTTGTAATTACATTTAAAATTAATCAAGGTGTGTCAACATGGAAAAAGTAATACAAAACTGGTATTAGGGGCTTATTTGTAAAGTTCATAGTATATAAGATGGCTGCTAAAATATTTCTATAATTTTGGCTACTTATCTCTGTTATCTCTCCTTTATTTGTCCTTAATAAAAAGGGTGATGCTCAAGGTCTATACTTGGATCAAAAATATGTCTTACATACTCTTCCACAACATAAATTTTCTGACATTGTATTTAGAAGATACTCACACTAGAAGTTCTTCTGGTTTAGAATCGTACAATTTAAATTTGAGGGGATCTTCTAAATTATTACGAATATAATAATATATAAAAAATAGTCATGCAGGGTCTTGTTTGATTCATGTCAAAGACTGTTTAAGAATATCAATTTTGTAAAACTTTTACTACTAATACGTAATTATAAGATTTTAATGATCGAAGACTTACATTGGCTAATGTGTGTAGTTAACATAGGAACTTTTAGAGGCAGAGTGCTATATACACAGAAGAAAAACAATTAATAAGTGCATGAGTCTACATGTCAAGGAAGAGGGTATGAAGTAATATATTTTTTCTAATTCTCTTTCCATATTTGGCAAGAAGTTTACACTATATTGGCTGAAGCTGAATCCAAGCATTTTACAAAACTTACCATAGTATAAAACTTTAGGTTGATACTAGTGTATATGTATGATTGTATTCATGCTGCGCACATGATTACTAATTTTGGTTCATTTTATACTGTGAATACAATGTCAGCTTTCTGTTACAATTTTACATGAAAAGTTGATTGGAGGCTTAGCCCTCATATAGTAGTAATGCTGGCAACATGCTCTAGTTAAATGATTCGGGTATTAATAGTGCTACTTCTTCCAAATAACTCAAGACCTTGTAATTTGTGGAGGGGGAATGGGTGGGGAGAGTAGCAAAGGAAGAAGGCAAGGGATGGGCTTAGGACAGCATTTTCCTCCCAAATTATGTCAGCATTTCGAAAAGTTTGATTTGTTAGATGGATCTCTACATTTATCCTCTTCCCGTGTCCCACTCTATAGGGAAACTTTTAAGGAACATATTCTAACCAGTATGAAGTACTCCGTATATATTAACAAATCTACCTGTAATTTGAAACTGTAGAAATCAGGATAAATTTGACTTTGCTGACTATTTACAGATTATGGAAGTTCCAAGTCTCTTGGAAGAAGGGTCTAATGTGGGAAAAAGGAATGTCTTGAAACAGAAGCAAGATCAAAGAGCATCTCCTCCAGGTGGTTGTTGCGCTTGAACAGCCACGGTGACTCCATATACTTCAAATAGGAGTCCTGAACCGCAGTTGCAACTTCAATATTGGTGGAAGTTTTAACATGTTGCGTTCAAATTATGTACATGATAATTCTTTTTCACTTTTCTACTGTTCTGTGTGTTTTATTCTGCTGTTTAGCTGTGTATCGTCATTCATAGGAATTAGAGCTGTTACAAGTTTGTGTATAATAATAGTAGACTTTCTTAGGCGTGGCTTCTCTTATTTACTTGGATTTGTCACTTTGCTTGCTTCGTGAGCTTGTATGTATACATCAACGAAAAGTTTATGTATCGTTGATAATTTAAGAGTTAAATCATGCTATAATATCCATGAAGGGGTAGATTAAAGTCTACTTTGATCGATCCTTGAACGAGAGCAACTATTTACACACAATCTCTTAAGATTTGAGCTCACTCCTTCCTCAAGAGCACAACCTTTGCTTACCGACTCTCTCAAATATCGATTTTTAGAGGAATGTGGTTTTTCTCCTCTTGTTCAGTGCTATTGACTTGTAATGATATTCTTTTCAGCAATATGTTTCAATATTTTCTTATTTGTTTTCACCCAAGTGAATATGCGGAATAATAGATGTTGTGTTAGAGTTTAGAGGATTCACTTGTGGTGTTACAAATCTGAAACATATTTTTGTGCATTCATGTAACTGGCTAACAAGATGTAATGACTACACAAGTGGGACAATCCTAAAGAACTGCAACATTAGTGGAATATCAGTTACATAAAAAAGCAACAGGGGAGTACTTTAGGCCGCCATCTATTCTACAACCATTGTGATGGAAAATTACTTGGAAATGGTCATAAATCCCCATGGCTGGTTGACAACGCCTTAACTGACATATACTTCCCTCGTTTTTCAATATTTGCAACACTTTCTTAAAATGAAAATATCATATACTTGTAACATACTCTAATTGGAAAGTTTTTTTTTTTTGTTAAAAGTTGTACTATTACCCTTATTTTAAGCTTATGGCCTACTAAATTACATTCCTAACAATTTCTCACCCTATTTTAAGTGTATTATATCATGTGAGACCCACTTTTTTTAAGTACCGTGAAAAAATGTGTGTTACGTGTATTAAAAAACGGACAAAGTAATAAATAGATTGAAAAAAAATTAAAGGGTTGGGTAGCAAAACTAATGTAAGAATCAAATGCCTTTGGAGGAAATTTTTAATAAATCAAACAACATTCCAAATATAGATTGTAAGAAACTTTATCAACGCTACATATTGCTTTTATTGTTTGTGTACAAATTTTTATATTTGACCTTTTGATTTCCTTCGCAAAAATTCTTGCGTGCAAGACTTACATTAAGCTTAATGTAAAGCCTGATTCGCACGTGCCATTACAGTATAAATAGCAGTCGCACTTCTTCTCTCAACTTCGTCTTCTTCTTCTTTCAAATTCGCAGCCACTCTTCTTCTGTCAAATTCGCTGCAAATTCTCTGCAAAACATCGATGGATTCCCTAATTCACAAATTATTACAATCTCAAAAACAAATTCAAGCTGCAATTTCAAACGATCTGCAAACTTCAAAAGAAATTGAAGTTGATTCTGCAATTGATGTTGATTTAAACAATGATTCTATGCAACAAACCCTAAATTGCAGGCAATGTGGGAATAATATTGACCTAAATTGCGAAATCAATGACAATGCAATGCATCAAAACCTCAATTCAGGTACGTAATTTTGTATATGAATTTGTACAAATTTACCAAAAATAGGTAAAGTGGTGATTGAATGAATTACGATTAATGCAGATTCATATGAGAGTAGAGTTATTCTCGATGAACAACAAATCTCAGCTGATGAAGTGCAAATCTCGGTGGATGAAGAGCAAATCTCAGAGGATGAAGATTCAACTTCTGAAGGTAAAATTAAGCTTTTGAACAGTTGCGGAATTGTTTAAATTGAAGTTTCTGTTTAATATTGGAAAGTACAAGTAAAATTGAAATTGCATACTTGTGTTAATTTATAGTGTAACTTTAAGAAATAGAAGTGTAACTTTAAGAAACTAGTGGTTTTGTTTATGGCATAAAAGCTATAGTTATTATTGTTAAAGTTACATAATATGGCTTAGAAGTTATATTATATAATTTTATAAAATAGTGAAATTAGTGATAGCACTGTCAAAGTTACCTGATATGGCTTAAAAGTTACTATATTACTGAATTATAGTTACACTTTTTTCATAAAACTTAAATCTACCATACTGTTTATATTGCAGTCATTGAAACCAATATTGATGTCGGGAGAACACTGTTAGGCATTAGAACAAAAACCTTAGAAGAAATGCATGAGATTTACAAAAAACATGTATCAATTGTAGGATTTTCAGTAAGGAAACATACAGGTAGGACTAGGGATAAAACTGGAAAAGTTATTGTGGAGAAATACTATGTTTGTTCTGCACAAGGTAAAACAAACACTGGGGAAAGAAAAAAGAAAAAAATAGAAGCAATTGTGGAGAATGCAGAAAAGAAAAAGAAAAGAAAACCTAGGCAAGTTCCTATCACAAGAACAGATTGTAGAGCTTGTATAAGAGTCAAGATGAATGAGGATGGATTGTTTGAAGTAGTACAACATGTTTTGGTACATAATCATGATCTCACAAGAAAACAATGGCACTATCTTCATCGATCTGAAAGAGAGATGACAGAAGAAAAGGGACAAGTAATAGAAAACTTGCAGGACTTTCAGCTATGGACTCATATCGAGCTATGTGCAATGAAGATGGAGGTGAAGAAAACTTGGGACACACAAAGAAAGACCATCTGAATTATTGGACAAGGTTGAAAATGAAAAATATTGAAGGTGGTGATACAAGCAGTCTCTGAAATAATGTACCAGGAACTTGCTAATGATCCTGAATTTTTCTTTAGATTTAGATTGAATAAAGAAGGCAAGTTAAGAGCACTATTTTGGAGAGACTCGATGATGAGAGAAGATTATAGTATTTATGGAGATGTTGTAGTGTTTGACACTACATACAGGACAAATAGACACAATTTGATATGTGCTCCTATTGTTGGAATTAATAACCATTGGAAAAATTGCATGTTTGGGTGTGCTTTTATTAGAGATGAGAAAATTGAATCATTTGTATGGCTTCTTGAGACATTCAAAAAGTCAATGGGAGGGAAATGCCCAATATCAATCTTCACAAACCAAGATCAAGCAATGTGCTCTGCAATACAGAAGGTAACATTTAAAGTTATACATAAAGGTGTTAAAGTTACCTTGTTTCTATTATGTAGTTACCTTATTTTTCTAAAAATATATCTGATTATAATTCAGGTCTTTCTAGAGGTCAGACATAGATTATGTATATGGCATTTGGAACAAAATGCTATTACAAAGAGCACTTTTCGGGCATAAGATAGCGAAGTTTTAGACTCTCATGAGGGGATCCGGAAAGATTTGGATCATTGAAACGAGACAAAGATTTTAAGAGAACATTCTCCTACTGTTTAAAACGATGTGTAACTGAAGTTGAGTTTGAAACTGAATGGAACTCAATGATTGAGAAGTATAATTTACAAGAAGATAGTTGGTTCCAAAGAATTTATGATCTAAAAGCAAAGACTTCTTCTCAGCTGATATCCTCTCTTCCCAACGAAGTGAAAGTACAAATCATGCAATTGGGTTTAGAGCAAATAGATCAACAAGCTTGACTGAATTCTATAGCGTTTTCAAAGCTTGTATACAGCGTTGGAGAAGCACGGAAAAACATGATGAGTTCTCGCGTAGTAAATCAACTGCATCATCAGCAATACCATTATCTGGTCTGCTGAAACATGCATCAGAAATCTACACTTTGTCTTTATTCACAGATTTTGAAGAAGAATTTGGGTATTTCATTGCAACTACCTCAAAATTGCTTTGGCAAAATGGTAGTACCTTGTTCTATTTAGTGGAAATTGAAAGTGAACCTTGGTCGCAACAAAAAGTCATTTTTGAATCTGACAGCAACCAAGTTAAATGCACTTGCAAGAACTTTGAAGCTTCTGGATGGTTATGCTACCACTGCATCAGAATATTACACTTACATTAAGTGATGAGAATACCATATCAGTATATAAAGAAGAGATGGACGAAGTTTGCAAAATCATCAATTTGGGAAAGACGTGACAATGAAGAACCTGAACAACATCAATACACACCTTGGCGTCAAACCATGACTAGAAAATTCTATAATCTAATATTGAAAAGTCAATTGAATGAAGAGGCGAGAACCCTTATCGAGGACAGTTATGCTGTTAGCCTTTCTCTTGTTGAAGAACTATTAACAACCATCAACAACACTACTGAAGCAGAGACTAACCAAGCTACTGAAGCAGAGACTAACCAAGCTACTGAAGCAGAGACCAACAAAGATACTGAAGCAGAGACTAACCAAGCTACTGAAGCAGAGACTAACCAAGCTACATCATTAAGTACATCAACTGAGGCACCTCTTATATTAGATCCTAAACGTACAACAACAAAAGGAAGGAACAAAAGGCCACGAGGACCACTGGAGAAGAAAAGAAATAAGACTGCAGTACCACCACTTGAGTTTGGAGCTATAACCCCTAATTTGAGACTATTTTGATTGATCTTAGATACATTGTTCTTTAATTTTGAACTATATTCATTGATCTTAGACTATTTGAGACTATTGTATTATTCTTGAACTTTTAAATACAATATATTGATTTTATTTTTTTACTGTATAAGTAATGATGACTTTTGCTAAAAAAACCTATAACTTTTAGTAGAGTTACTATAACTATTATGATAGTATCCTTAACTTTAATTTGCATTTTCCATAACTTCTAATAAAAATACTATAACTGTTACAATAATTTAGATTCTAACTTCTTTTTATAAAAAAAAAGTTTCCACAACTTCAATGGCATTAGCCATAACTTTTAATGGAATTACATTAACTTTAACAGAATTACCATAATATCCAATCATTTCATAGACAAAATATTAAGTATGTAGTTACAAAAGCATGGTATTAACCAAACCAAAATTTCCAATTAGAAAATAGACATACTTCCCCTTAGTATATACTTACAAAAGCATGAAATTACTGTAAGTTCTAACTACATTAGCTTCCCCTTAACAAATCCTACTATTGCTAACAATATTTACTTCCCCTTGGAAAATTTTTCTTTCTTATTGGCATCTTTCTTTTTGACTTCTTTACTCAAATTTTTTGCCGCAATTTCCTCTTTCCTTTTTTCTTGCATCATCAAATTTCTCCTTTTAGAAAATTCAGGTGCTAGCTCCAATCGACGCGGATTAAAATTGCATAAAGAATTCAACACCAATTGTCTGCCATCATTCATATAAGACAGTACCAGTGTTTCACATATCTCTGCTCGAAGTACAACTCTTGAACTTGCCTGTATTTAAGAACTATATATATTAGTAAAAAAAAAAAACAAATTAACTAAAAAAATTGCAACTAACCCGCATCAACGCATCACAACTAAAAGCAGCACCTTCAAACAACAACATACACATCATAGAATATATTCCACAATCTTGATCATGTCCTTTATTCTTCCAACTGAACATCACCTCCTCCATTGCATAATCTCCAACTTCACTAAATTCAGGATGACCAAGACTATTGAATAATGTGCTCAAATTATCACACTACAAAAAGAAGAACAAAGTACAATAATTAAACATATAATAATAAAAATGAAACTTTAACCAAAATAAGTGTAACTTTTATAAAAACAAGTATAACTTTAACAAAAATTTAAACAATTACCAATATTGTAGACAAATGCTTAATTGTTTCCATAGTAGCTTCTTTATAAACCAAATTGTCCAATAATTGCATGGTTTTTTTCTTCATATTCAACGCAAAAACCCGGAAGTGGTGATACACATAAATAGGAACAAAAACTTATCATTTATAATTTAAAATACAGAGAATTAGAAAAAAAAAATGATGACACATTTGAATTAAAATACACAACAATAGAAATAATTATTACCAAATCAACAACACTGATATCAAAATTGTTGTTTGTGACTTGAATCCATTCCTTCCAACAAACTTGAAGTTGATCCATAACATCAATATCATTTTCATCATCCCAAAGCTTTACCAAGTTAGCCTAAATAACAATAAGACAAAAAGAAATCCAAAAGAATTAACTATACAAACATCAATTAAAAGAAAAATACATATAGCTTTACATAAAACTTACACTGCCTTCAACACAAAAACATAATTTTTTAGGACCTCCGTCGCGCGTTCTTTCATTCTCATTCAGCAACATTGCCCAACACTCAATAACAGATTGGAAAATCTCCAAATTAGCAGCTAAAGACACCATATCTTCTCTTGGAACACTATGACTAAGATCAAACCACACCAAACGCTCCCTAAATAAACAAAAAACCAGCTAAAAATTAAAAAAAAAACAATAACTTTAAGAAATAAAAACATAACTTTAACAAGAAAAAAATATAACTTTAACTAAAATATAAATAACTTACTGATTCAGCACTTGAATGTCATCTAAGAAGTAATAATCAGCAATCTCCTGATATAACTTTGGTAATTTTTTCAAAGACTTCTTATTGCTTTTCATCACATGTCCAACAAACACAACATCAACATCACATGGCCCACATCCAACAGATATTTTTGTCATACCATTACCCAAAGCATTCATGATTATAGATGAGAAAGAACTTTCACCATACTCCAGGTTAATCTTTTCTATCACATTATGAACAATATTACTAACAAAATCACCCCCAAGAACATTTTCCACACTTCCACCATTCTCCCCACCCCCGACATTCATATAACAAGCAATATCTGAAATACCTCCGGGCAATTTCTTCATTGATAACATAATATCAACAATTTCATCAATAATCTCAAACATTCTTAGATCATAATCCTGACTTTGCAAGACAGGAGATGAACTACTAGAAGCACGAGCCACATCACGCTTCTTTAAACTTTCAACCTTCTTCAAATGATAATTTGTAACAACTTCCATATTCCTCTTCATCAACAAAAATTGCTCATGAATAGCCTGAAAAATAATAAGTGAATAATTAGAAAGATAACTTTAGCTACAATAAGTATAACTTTTAACATAAAAAGTATAACTTTAATATTAATAAGTGCAACTTTTAACTTACATCAGTAGCAACAGAATGAATTTCTTCATCAGATGCCATACTATCAGGAACATAAAACTTAATGATCCTTTTTCCTAGTGATGCATCATCAGCATTGTCACCTTGAGAAACTTCAGTTTGCTTAGCTCCTTTAGGTGAAATTCAAAGAGGCAGCTGATCTCCGAACACAAAATTCTGAGATATAGGGTATGTAGTAGTATCCAAAATACCACAACCAAAGGACTTAGCATCAACTTCTTTTTCACCCTATCACTGATTTTCTTATCAGTCCAGTGTTTGATAAGAGGAAAACTACAATCTTGTGCCTCATTCCTGAACTTCAAACGCTGAAAATACACAACCTCCAACAACAAAAGACAACCACCAACACTGTCTTGACTCTTACTTTTCTTATACTTCAAAATAGCCCTACACAACCTTTCATGAACATATTTACACCAATTGAAATTCTTAATTTCATCAACATTTTCAAGAGCTTTAACAAAACTCAAATCGGCAGTTCTATTTGCAACAGGTGCTAGAAAGGTAGCAAAAGCAACCATCACAAATAGTCTCTTAAACAACTCCCCATCATCCTTTAACTGAACAATCCTAGCCTCTAATTTATGCAAAGGTATGCCTGCACTACCAGCAACATCAAACATACTCCTCCATTCTTGTTTCAATTGAAGATCAGTACTTCTAGTACTCTCTACAACATCCATCCCATTATTCAAAGGTAACTCAAATACATCATAAACATCATAGGGAGAAATAACAAATTCCTTCCCAGGACTTATAGAAAACATCCAACTAATAGGATCAAAATGATCAACCAACCAAGGAAGTAAAGTTGTAACAGTTCTAGTCAACTTTAAATCCAACAAACCACCAAATCCTATTTCAACAACAGATTTAACTTGCTCATCAGAAAAATCTTTCATGAGATCTACTAATGTGTGCGGTCTGCAATGGGTATTAAAAAACCTATCCAATCTGAATCAAAAAAAGAAGAAAGGAAAAATAGAATGAACAACTATAACTTTAAAGAGAATAAGTACAACTTCAGAAATAATAAATGCAACTTTAGCAAACACAAAATTATCACTATAAATAAGTAATAAAATATAGCTTTAATATCATTATCCATAACTTTACATAAAATTATCCTAAATATTGTATCAGCATATAAGTTAATTATCACATCTATCTTACACAATGTCATTAACTTTAAGGGAATTATCCATAACTTTAAGGGCATTATCCATAACTTTAAGAGCATAATCCATAACTTTAGAAATAATAACAATAACTTCAGAAAAGGGTACTTACATTTCAACATCAGAATCAGAATCATCTCTCCCTGATATACTTGCAACATTTTCATCTTCTTCAGCATCAGCATCTGGTCTGTTTCTATTTTCAATTTGACAGCCTTGTCAACCACTCTCCGCTTCTTCTCAGCAGGACATATATTGTCCTTCACCATTTTCCGCTTCTTCTCGGCCGGACGACGATAATCTTTTTTTCGTTTTTTCTCAACAGAAGCATTATTAGATGCCTTAGCTAGATTTTTCTCAAGACGACAATAATCCTTTGCTAGATTTTTCTTAGCTGGACGCCGATCATCCTTTACAAGCTTCTTTGATTTCACACTCAATTTTCTTTTTTTCTTATTTCTCTCAACAGATTCTTCCTCACTTTCTTCTTGGTCAGAACCCTCCTCACTTCCCTGCTCATCATCACCCTCATCCTCCTCTGAACCCTCCTCATCATCACCTCCACCCTCTTCTGAACCCTCCTCATCATCACCTCCACCCTCTTCTGAACTCTCCTCATCATCACCTCCATCCTCTTCTGAACCCTCCTCATCCTCACTTTTATCCTCCATCACTGCATCCTTCT